AACCTTCGGCTGGCACTTATCACACACACACACACACACACACACACACACACACACACACACTTTTTCTTCAAAGTTTGGCTTCTTCGTCACCGACATCAGGATAAGGCGGGCAATCCGCAGGCAAGACTGCTTCTTCTGTCAGTCTGTCTCGAGCCCCTCACCTCCATTTCGGCAGCTAACCACGACTGACGGGCAGCATTCATCCTTGCTCCCTTGCTTCTTCTCAAGCGGGCGTCAACGAGCAAATGGACCTTGACCACCACCCTCAGCGCTGCTGGCTCTTTCACTCGTGAGTGACTTCGGTAGTGGTGAACCTAACCTGTGCCCTCCATCCTCGAGCGAAAAAAAAAAAAAAAAAAAAAAGGCATCACAGGCCACCACTCGCACCAACAAACAACAAGCAACTCAGGACAAGCTGCTGTCATCTTTTGCTTTCCACACACCCCCTGTCCCTTCGCCCGCCTGCCGAGGACCCCTCCCCATCCTCTCCCATCCCATCTCATCCCACATCTCAAAAAAGCTGCTCAGACCGACATCAAGGCTCAGTCACCCCAGTCGAGCGCGAGCAAGGCAGGTCCCTCGGCGCTCCGAGTCTTTCCAGGCACCCTCCGTGCTTCCCAGGTACCGGTCCCTTGGACCACGGCGTCGGAGCAAGTTTTCTGCTCTAAGACGGTTCACCGTCTCTGCGAATGAATCGTTACTACTGGGCAGCAGTTCGACATACAGTATCCGTATCCCACACTATCAAAAGATGCTTGCCAACAACTAGCCGGCTTGGCTCTGGTTTGACTTTGGCGAGTCGCATACTTTTCGTCCGTCCTGCGGCAACATTGCGCGCCCACCACACCATGTTTCTCTCTCTTGACATTCGTCAGTCACTGTGACGGAGGCCAGCTCCGATCCTCAGCCCTTCTGTTCCGGCCTTTTCCGCCCTAACCTTGACGTAGTCAGCAAACGAACGGGCCTTTTCGTCCATGCATTTGGGTTTTATATCACCGATGGGGAACGTCATTCGTCAGGTTATTAGTCAACCCCAGACCTGAGCAGCGAGCGAGCGAGAAATGAAGAGAGAAAAAGAGAGGCTGAGAGACAGCGAGAAGGGAAGGGAGAGTTGAAAAAAAAAGAGGCTTTTTGCACTCCCCCTGGTACTCCTCGCCTCACGCCCACCACCAAGGAAGGGCCCTGTGTACGACATTCAAGCCGCTAAAATAACGTCGACGCTTGTTTCTCTTCACGACTCACGTCGATTCGCTTAAGGATGGTCAAGTTGAGAAGAATTGCCCGCCACGTCCGCCACGCCCGCCACGAACAGCCTCGTCCAATCCAACTGTCGCCCAGTCTAGCGGTCGGCATCCACGAAATACTCGGATAGTATTTCGCGCCCAGCAGCAGCAGCAGCAACACCGGCATGACAGCAAGCAACACAGCACAGTATAGCATAGCGCATCGGAGCGGTCAAGTGACGAATTGAGGCGGCGCACTGCGAACGGATACTCATACTTGAATACTTGGGCGAGCTGGAGCATGGATTGCATGTCGCTGCTCCGCACTCGTTTTGTTTGCCTGTCCATCCCATCCCGCCCTTTCGCATAGCATCACATCGCACGCCCGCGGGTTTCCAAACCGAAAGAAAACCTAATAATACAGCAGACCCTTCTTTTGCAAGGACCTGGCATCTTTCTATTACACCGCAACCACACGTCAGCTCACCGTACATTACACCGGCCAGCTGGCCCCTCGGGGACCACCAGCGACGTAATGATCAAGACAAGACAAGAGGGGAACCAGAGCCCCAGAAAAAGCGGAACTTGGACATTCCTTTGCACGGCCGTTGCTGGAAAGCAAATTTCCTTCTCGAATCCCGTGACCACTTTTCCCCAGTTGTCTGGCATGGAGTTTGATCCAGAATGCGCCGGTCCATGCCTCTATGAACAGGTATTAGACGGCATACACCGAGGGATTTGGAGAGAATGGCAAGAAACAAAGAAGAAGAAAGAGAGAGCATGAAAATAGTTCCGTCTCTGAGGTTCGGTCATCCATGAATTCTTGCGCGCCGGGCCCCCTCCCCCCCTTTTCTCCCGACAGCATCTCCGTGCGGCGCGTCCCGTCCGGAACTGGTATTGTGCCTTGGAAAGCCGACGAGAACTGCTGCTGCATCGGATCCAAACAAGCTTGAGAAGCGGTGTCGGGAATGGGAATGAGAATGGGGATGGCATTGGGGGATGCCCTGAGTCGGTCTGCTAGCCGGGCACTACCCATCCCTGACAGTCGCCAACTTCTTGCTACCGCAGTATCCGTACACTACGACTAGTCCCGACTGCTGCGCAAGTGTAGGCATTCTGTTTGTGTGCGCGTGGTTGATGTGGGTGGAGAGAGTTTCTACCTATGCTTCGCACCACATATCCGCCGTCCAGGTATGCAGTGCATTTTCTCAGCAAGCAAGCAAGCAACCAAACAACCGAGCAAGCCACCGGCAACACAAGAGCAGATTTCCAGGCTGTTGGAAGACTTCCTAAGACAAGCATACTTACTGGGGCATACGTCCCTCTCCCCAAACGGTACTCTTCGCGGCACAGTACACAAGGAGTACCGTCTCTCTGTCTGTACATGCGCGTGTACAACATGAGGATTTACCTGTACGTAGGCTGTGGGAGGAAGCAGATCAGGTCGGGCCAGCAGCAGCAGCTTCACACACGCAAGACACGCGAGACACGCTCTCCAAGCCTCCAACCCCCCGTCGCCAGGAACGCACGCACGCACTTCCACTCTTTCTCGTCCATTTGCAGGGCGGCGCGCGTGGAAGAAACGGCGGAGGCTGTCGATGGGCATGTTAACGGCACGCCCCCCTCCCTACGTCTTCATTTTTCCCACACACAGCGCAAAGCAAAGCTCCAAGACGACGACGCCGAGGACGACGACATGCTGCGGAGTAATCGGTACCTAGACGGTAGAGGGAAAAGGACTGGGACGCCCACATCCACACCCCACCCCACCCCTCGTTCGCTCACGAAGATCCCTCGTCCTAGCTCGACTCCCCCAATCCCAGCCTCGTCCAGATAGTGTGAAGTCGCCGCACTGCTGCTGCTGCGTGTTTTTTCTTCTTTTTCTTCTTTTATCCCCCCCCTTCTCGTCCCTCCTAACCCACCCTTGCTATTTTTTCCATTGACCCCCCCTGGCCCTGCTAGCTTTCTGAGACTTTTTGACTTGGCAGGGTCGATTGGATTTCCCAGGTGGTCCTCTCTGTCTGTCTGTCTGTCTCTCTCCCACTCTGTTTTCTTTGGAGGAAGGGCTAAGAGTGATGGACTTGTCGCGAAAGTAATTCCCTGCCTTGTCTCTATCCAGTCACTCCACATCCCTGTCTCTACCACATACCACACACAACCAGGAGCTTGAGATACTTGCAGATACCACGTCGCGTACCCCTCGGCCAAGCTCCAAGAAGCATAGGTACTGTGTAGAGGGCCAAAGAGGAGAATAGGTACGGATAGTCAACAAGAGTCAGACCAGGCCACCAAAAGCAGACCGCCTTGGAACGGGTGGTGCCCGTTTTCTGCCTTTGCCTCCAACTTTTTCTCGCACCCTACATCCGAGTCTACACACCCAACCCGCCATCGTACATTAGAGTAAGGATACTCCGTCGAGCAAGCGTACCGAGTACCTCATGCCGACACCTCCACTTCGTGCGTGTACCTTGTAGCCGTGGCGCTCGTCTACTCTCTGCGCGGGAGCAAGGTATATGGCGACCGGGACATCATCATCCATCCGTCTCGCCGCCGCTTGAGAATTTGACGTTTTCTCGACCTTCTTTTTCTTCCCTCCTCTACGCGCAAGTCAACAGTCGGAGAGAAAGAGAGATCCCCCTCCCCACCTCGCTCACACCGTCACCCCCGTCAAACCTCCAAGGCAGCGCAACCCGAAGAAAGAGGAGAGAGCAAAAATAGCGGAAGCTCCATCTCTGCCCAACGCGCTGATCCCCGCCCCCTTCGAGTTCCAAGCCGACCCTTTGGGCATCCGGGCGCATTCGCAGAGTGGGAAAATCCCATTTCCCAAGTTTCAAGAACCACACAGCCGGGAACACTTCAAACCACTCACCACATCGGGTTCCCAAAGTCGAGTAGGAAGACTTCTCGAGTCGACTCGAATCGAGCTTCCCGTCCCTCGCCGCGCGCCGCCGCCGCCGCGCCTCCTCTTCCGCCCTTCCACTCCCAGCAGACTCCCAGTCCCTACCCTACTACGGATACCTTCCTTGGTCCTTGGTCCTTGACACCCAAGATAGGTTCTACAGATACATCCCCAGGTCTACGGATACGGATACCTCGACTCCCAACGACTTAGATCCCCCCCCCCCCGACATTGGGTTGCCAAGTACCTCCTCCTCCTACCTTACTACTCCTCACCCTCACCCTCCTCTACTTTGTACTATCCGTACCTCTCCGACTTTCACACCGACCTACCCTTCTCGTGCGTACTTCGTACACTTACGTTGCACTTCTCCGTACCGGTATACCGTGGACCACGCGCTCTCTGTACCGTACATACGTACAGACACGCCGCCATCAGGAAGAGGAACCACCACGGCCCCATGCTTTCATCCAAACACTGAGAGCCTCCAATTGTTGCTGCCCCAGACCCAGAACCCAACCTGATCTCCGTTCCCCGTCCCGGCTTCCCTCAACTCACACAGGCTTCCTGCTTGATTGATTGATTGCTTGCTTGGTCGCTTGGTTGCTCGCTTGTCCTTCTTGCTCCCTCCTCTCCTCATCCCCGTCCACTGCTGCTCCCGTCTCTGCGTCGCGTTGCGTTGCGTTGCGCTGGTTCAGCTTTGAGAGACTACTGGACTGGTCCGAACCGGAACTGGACGTCTGGCTCTTCCTCTCCGTTGCCCATAGCTTTTCCATGGCCGCCACCTTCTCCTCCTCGGATCTGGCCTGACCCTATTTTCGCTTCGTCTCTTGTTTTTTCATAAGCATTTGTACGTATGTACATATATATCAAGCATGGATCCTCCGGGGCAGCCTGACAACAAACGCCCCCGTCTCTCGAGCACCAACTCGTGGTCACCAACCGGCGGACCGCAACACCATCTACCACCACTCCACCCGCCGCCCTCGCACCCGTCGACGCCGCACCAACAGCATCCTCTCCCGCCTCATCAACAACACGCGCCGCCGCCTGCGCCATATAACCACCAGCAGCAGCCGCCTCCGTACCCTCCTCGCTCCGTCGAGCCTCACCACCCTCCTCACCCGGCGCCGCAACATCATCCTGACGACCGACGACACCATGAGCAAGAGCCTCCTTACACGCCCATGCAGGACCACTATCGACACCCGCCCTCACCTGCGCACCCGCCTTACCCACCGTTTCCAAGCCGAGACCCTGGCGGCGTGAAGAGAGAGCCGCACGACGAGAACCTCTCTCACCCACGAAGACCTCACTCGACAGGAGGTGGGCCACAGGACGGCCTCCCTCCTCCGCCGCACTCTGCGCCGCCGCATCCTTCTCACCAACCGTACCCCGACGATTCTCGACGACACATGAGCTACGACAACGGGCCACAGCAGATGCCCCCCACGCCGGGGGGCTACCGAAGCAGCTTTCCTCCTCCTCCTATGGCCCAGCCGCCGCCGCCGCCGCCACCTCAACATTATGAACAGCAGCCGCAGTACCAGCCGCAACACCCTCCCGAGTCAATATACGCACAGTTTTCTTCCACTGCCAAGCGCAAGGCAACAAGAGCCTCTCAGGTGCGACGACGCGAGTGCCCTCTCAACTAGATCAGTTTGCGCTGACCATATGTTCTAGGCTTGTGACAGCTGTCGGCAGCTAAAGGCGAAATGTGACGAGACTAAGCCTTGCAAAAGTTGCAGAGAAAAGGGTGTCGAGTGTAAATATCGTGATCCTATTCCAAAGGCGTCAGTCGAGTTTGCCTCCCCTCCCTCAAATAATGTTTCTTGCTGATATTGGAAATAGGATCGACAAGGGCCAAACAGACATTTTGGAGGCGATTTCTGAGATGAAGAGCGCGATGGAGGCCAAATTTGAGGCGCAGATTGCCGCTCAGCAAAGGTGGATGCAAAATATGGAACAGAGGTTGAACATGCACAACATTAAGATGGAAGCTGAAGCGCCGCCGCTTTCGGATGATTCTCCCGACAAATCGCTCGTCAAGTCACCATCACCAGTTGTCGCGCCGCCTGTGGAAACGTACCCTCAACCCGACGAAGAGATGCACGAGCCGCAGCCCATGGCCGTAGGCGAGACGGACTTGGCCCACCAGATCCATGATACAGACATGGACAACGACGACGCGCCCGACAATCCTCCCGGACCACCTGTAGCGCCGGGACCCCCTTCGATTCCGGTAAACCACACAACCAGAGCCGACACCATTTTGTTCTGGCCGGGTGTCAAGGAGATGACCCAGGGAATTCTGGAGAGGGAGAATGTCAAGTACCCTCAGGAGTACCCCATTGCCCAGGAGGAGAAGCGCGGCGTTCTGCGCCTCTACGGGCGCGGGGAGGGAAGCGGGCAAGACTCCAGCCGTGGCGTTACAAGTATCGCGGCTTCTGAGGCCTTTGGTACAATGGATGTCATGGAAGACAACTTCTCCGAGACTGGAAACTCGCCCTCTCCAGGTGAGGCTTGGGGCCAGGTCGGAGGACTGAGCCCGCCAACGAGCATGGGATACATCAGTGGCACGCTCACACCCGACGGCGCTCCGGATTTCTCTGAAGAAAAGGTCAAGGCATACATCACCAGCTTCGAGACTCATATCCTCACCTTGCACCCAATCATTCTCCCCGGCGACCTGAGAGTCCTCGTTAAACGCTTCTTGGACAACATTGCGCAGACCGAGAAGAAGCCCAAGCCGACTGCACCTGGCGTCGCCAAGTTCGTTGCGCCGACGAGCAGCTACCCAGAAATGTCAAACAAGCGGAAGCGGTCTTCACCAGCACTGGATCAGCAGCCTGAAGAGACAATACAGCTCCCTAAGAAGCCGGGTAGGCCGCATAGGACTATTGAAAACGCCCTGGTCTTGGTCATTCTTGCCTTGGGCAAGATCTGCTTGCACCAGTCCAAGATTCCTGACCTCCCCCGGGACATGGTAGAACACAGCCAGAACTCTCCCATGAACAGGAATGGATATCCATCTTCCCCCGGTGCGCAGGCGTCGCCTCCATCGTATTCTTCGCATTCGCATTCCTCCGGGTTGCCTTCACCTAAGGAGCAGAACAATAGTCTTCCCAGCAGACGGCCTTCATTGCAGGGCAGCGGCGCCGGCAGCCTGAAGTCCAACACGATGAAGCGCAACTACGACATCATTCCTGGTTTGGAATATTTCGCCTATGCCTCTGACATTATGGGTAACCACATGGCTGGCTGGACGATGAAGCACGCCCAGACTTTCATCTTTGCTGGTCTGTACCATGGTCAACTAGGCAGAGTGCTGGAGAGTGACGCCATGTTCTTCAATGCCGCACGAGCTTTGAACATGATCATGCGCCGGTAAGTTGACCGAAGACGAATATCAGATTGATGGAAACTAATGCCCGAGTAGTGACATGGACCGCTTCTCGAAGATGGGTCTCGATAATCCCGTTGAGAAGAAGCGTGACAACATGGTCCTCCTCGCATACTGGAGCTGTCTGCAACTCGAAAAGTAGGTCCCATGACACTAGATTGCTGGTCAGTGCTGACAATTTCTCAAGCGATATCATTGCGGAACTTGAACTACCACGATCCAGATGTCTCGACTACGAGCACATTATGCCGTGGCCTAATATGAAGCTCATAGAGAACGACACATCTGTCAGAGTGCGAGACTCTTATATCGGACAGTTGTACCTGCGAAAGACGCTGAACACCATCCACAACTTGCTCTACGATCCCCAGGACATCCACGTTTCGATCAATTTGAAGATGAGCAAGGTGCAGGATTTGGAGGAGCAGCTGAGAAGCATGCGGTGGGTATCAAAGGACTTCCACTTCAACGAGGACGACGAACCAGCAAAGGAACTCATTGATGCGCGATTGCGTGCTAAGTACTGGGGCGCTCGAGTCATCATCTACCGTCCCTTTGTCAGATTCGTTTTGGAGGTTTCGGACAGGCTGAAGCAACGATCTGATGGCTCAGGCATGCTCAACAAGGAGACAGTGGGACACATTGGCGTCTTCACCCAACACGATGCGACTGCTTTCGTGGGGCAGGGCTCTCACGGGATCCGTCGACACGATGAGCTCGACCCAGAAGTCAAGGCATATGCCGAAAGAGGTATCAAGGCCCTCATTGAGAGTACTCGGGCCTTCCACGGTGTCGACAGCAAGCGTCTGCTCGTCACCAACATCTTTGGCACAGCCCATGCGTAAGTTGTAACTTTCTTAGTGGTGTTTTGGGACAACACTAACGACCACAGGCAATGGGGTAACCTCTTGATTTTGGCAGCAGCCTTCCGCGATCCGTACTTGCACCATCTCGTGTCGAGCGAAGAATTGAAGATGCTGTTCCGACGAACCATTAGCATGCTCGATATGCATGCCCAGTCATCTAGCTCCCTGACGATTGATATGCATATCCTTCAACACATCGAGAAGGAGCTCTTTACCGAAAACCCGAGGGTTGGCTCCAGCAGCTTCGGCAGCAACAACAGCCACACGGGGCCGACGATCCCCCCGCCTCCGCCACCCTCGTCCGCACCGCCGGCCCATCACCACCACCATCCGGGCCCCATGTCCATGGCATCCTTCATCGAACCTAACCACCGCAGCGCGAACAACTCTCCAAACCAGGGACACCGCTCGCTGAGCAATGGATCGGGTCACGGTCACCCGCAGAATCACGGACACGGCTACCATGCTCACCCTGGACATCCTGGACACCCTGGACACCCTATGCAGATGTAAAAACGGGGAACCTCCCCAACGCAGCGATCTCTACCAAAGCGGAGAAACAGTACACGAAGAAGACTCCCCTGCGCGCGCTCGCGATTCAAATGACGACAGAAACACTGGTGATCGGGATGGAACTATTTTGGTATTATGGAAAGCTTTCACAAAAGGCAACAAACTAATTGGGAGGAATCAAAATCTGGGCGGAACGAAATGCCAATGTGTATGCGCGGGCCAGAGGAAAAAGGAGACGGGGGATGGACGGGACAAACGGCCCCCCTCCGCTCTTGGTCATGAACTTCTTCATACCCCGAACAACAAACATCCATGAACCGGCGTTTTGCGAATTCGAAATTCATTTTTCACTTCATTTCTCGTACCTACTTGGAGATCCCCCTTTACCCCCCTTGGAAACCCCCGGAAACCGGAAAAAAAAACATTTTTGTTACAAAGGAAACCTCTATACGATTACGCAGTACAAAAAAACACTCCTCGAATCTGATAACCTTTTGTGGAATTCTGACTGGATCCTCCCTGGTTTTGCCACAGCTCATATTGCCTCCGTTTACGCGTTGGCGAGAGTGTGCTCTGCTGGACCGAAATCTTTCTTCATTCACGACCGAAGTGTCAGCAACTCAGTATACTCATACCCTACGCTTGATGTGGATGATGAAGCCGACGGACAAAGGTGGGAAGGAAAGGGGATGGTTTCGGGAGCGGTAGGCTTGAGGGGGTAAAGGGGGACGGGCCAGGCAGGAGAGAGGGCCAACGGGGAAAGGAGAAGACGGGATTTGTGGACAAGAGCATTTGTTTTCTTTACCACTCTCTGTCGTTATCAGACGACGCTGGACCTCCGCAGGGTCGTTTTTGAAATCGGTTCGGTGGAAAGAGGGAGGGGTGGAAGGGAAAGGAGGAGGATTGGGGCCGGACGGGGCGGGCGGAGGAAGGATTTTGCATATAAAAGACAAGACTCATAGCCGAGTTCTTTGGTTCGCGCCCTCTTCTTGTTTATTTGGTTCTTGGCCTTTTCTCTCTCTCTCTCTCTCTCTCTCTCTCTCTCTCTCTGTTGGCTTTTCCTCTCTCCTTCTGGTTGGCTGTTTAAACAACAACCCTCCAAACAAAGCATTGCGTTTGCGTTTGCGTATTTTTCTGGTACTACGTTTTTTGGGCAGCATTTGCAAACCTTTCTTTTATATATATCCTATTTCCATGGGGACTTTTTCATTATCATAGTCGTTGTCTTTCGTGGTCGTGGTCGTGGTCTGGTCGTTGTCGTTTGACCCCCGCCCTCATTCTCGGAGAACTGGATTCACCTAAATGTTGGTTCTGTCTATCGGTTCTGGTTGTTATGGCGGGGCTGGCTTGTCTACGTGGTGGATGGTTCCATCTGGCAAAGGTCTTGGAGGGCGGGAAAGGGGGGGAAAGGGGGGGAAAGTTGTTTTGTGTTGTCATGGTTTTTCCCAATTGACGGCTTTGTTATACTTTCTAGGGTGAGATCCTTTATTTTTTCAGCGGAGGAGATACCAAATGAGGAGAGGGAGGCGTGGTGGGGAAGTGGCTTCTTTCTCTTTGAATTATGTTATTGTTCCTTAGTATATTAGTACTACGACGAAAAACTTATTGCCCCTGAAACTTGGTTTCTCTTCTTGATGTGGTGATGAATATTAAACATGTCCATTGCCGCTCTTGTGGCAGATTATCATCAAATGCCAAAAACAGACGGGCATTCGAGTCGTGGCTTCTAAGAAGCAATTTGAAACAAGAAGAGTAGCCTTTCGCCAGTACCTCCAAGCTCCTAAAGGAACCAGAAATCCGGGGGGGGGGGGGGAGGAGGGCGGGTTGTTTGCAATGTCCGTCCACCAGTCCAAAAAAAATAAAAATAAAAAAAATCATGAGAACTGAGCGATGGCGAGGTCTACACCATCTTCATATATCGACACAGTCCAATGCCATCCTCCACCACACCCCGGGGAACCGAATGACCGAAAACCCCCCCACACCGATTACCCACGCAATCCGCGGACATGGTAAACCTTGGATAAGTTGACGTTGACAAGTAACGTCCCCCCCCCCCCCCCCCCGTCACGCCACACTCAGCTAATTGAAGAAATACATATCACGATCAATCACATCTCCATACTCTTTTGAATGAGAGGGGGGGAAAAAATACAGATACGTCAGATTTGCTTTCACCTCACCTGTTTCAGGCCACAGATGTGGGAACAATGACAAGCCGTCAATGTATATCTGTAGGGTGAACCAACAATAGGCCAGGACCCAGCCCCCCCCCCCCCGCCTCCCCGGTCTCGGGTATCCTGATCGCTGATGGATGGGTTTTTGTGTATGCCGTATATCGTGCCGCTTTGCATTGCGGCCGAAGATTTTTTTACGTCCGAAAGGCATGCGCGGAACGCATACACACGCACGCACACGCACAGGACAGGGACTACGGAAAGAGACGTCTGCAGTAGTAGAGAGAGATTCAACTGCTTCACCTTACTACTTACTGACCTTACCTTGCTTTACCTTGCCTTCTACCGCCTTTGCCTCAATAAGAGTGTCATGTCTCTCTGTCACTGTCACTGTCACCGCAAGTTGTAAATACCGTCCGTCCGTCCCGTCCGCCCGCCCATTATTAGGTAACTCCCTCCCGTACCTGGGCTAATTTGGGGGCATGACTTCTATCACCTATAACATTACAAGTTCTTGAACAAAAACCTCCCCCCCTTGCGTTTTGCGCTTTGTCCCCACCCCTGGTATACGTTGTAACCTAGCACACTTGGGTATCGGTGTGAGGACAATACAAAAATTGTGATCGATTTTGGGAACGGGACTTGGCGGATTGGGAATCGGGGATTGCGCAGGACTTGGATCAGTCATCAATCGCTTTTTTTTTTTTTTTTTTTTTTTTTTTTTTTCCTCTTCCACTCTCGGTTTTTCCGTTTCCTGTTCTTGGTGCCCTGCCCTGTCAAACGGTGGTAGGGACTTTGACACTTTGACAGCTGCTCACCCCCTTTTTTGCTTTCTTTCTGAATTTTACTTTCACTAGGCTTAAAGATGGCGGTCAAAGATTCCTAGGTAGGTGGTCGTGATAGTAGAACCCGGACGGGCAGAGCAGGTAGACGCGCGCACACGGCGTGCCAAGGTGCAAATCTACTACCTTAGCACCTTTGCGTAAAAGGTAAGCAAAGAAAGGGTAAAAACACATTCAGTAATCCCCGAGGCATCATATGCTGGGTCTGAGCCTGGGCTTGGGTTGAGGAGTGAGAGGTGTGATCGGGCCTGGCTGGCGTAGCATTTCCCCCCTCTCCGCACCTTTACACGATCAACAACCTAGAACACCCCAAGGCCGCCCCAACAGATCCAGGGAACCGGTGGATGGGGGGATGGGGGATGTTGTTGTGGCGGTCTGGTGGGTGTCACCGAGTCCTGTCATCTGCGTGGCTGCGGCGTCGTCGTGGTGTTCTACAGCTCAAAGTGCCAGATCAATATTTCGACACAGTCAAAAACTTGAAATAAGGGATTAAGGATACGCTTAGGTATGGTATAGGCCTGTTGCCTGCTACCCGTAGGGGGGTCGGACGCCGCGGGACTGACGGACCGGGACCCAGTGCCATGGGACCAGTTCTCTTGAGCCGTGTGGCCGGCCCCCTTCTCCCTTCTCTCCCGGGGGCATGGGTGCGGTAGCGGTAGTAGAGCACATCCCAGGTTGATAAGTGCGGTTATTTACAATAGTATTTGGTAGTAAGTGACGGGGAGGGGGGTCTTGCACATTTACTTGGGTTAGCCGAAGAAAAATGCGCCCTTTCTTCTGGACGGGCACGGCGATGGAGGACGTAGGGTAGGTGACTGACGGGGGGGAGAGAGAGGCTGGACAAGGCGAGGCCGGCGGCGGCGCGGACGGTTGACACGCAGGCGGGACGCGGGGCGTGGGATAGGGATGGTGGTCGACGGTCGTGATGGTCGTCTTTGAACGCACACACGGCGCGCTAGGAGTTTAGGACGAGGGCGACGGGAGAGGCCCAGAACCAGAACCAGAACCAGAACCAAAGGTATGGGGAGGGGAGGGCTGCGGGCACGGGATGGGGCGGTAAGGCAGCGGGAAGACCATACTCTGTTTGGGAGTTTGTGCCGGGGGTAGGGGTTACGAAATGTGATCTTTGGTCGTTTTGGCTTGCACCCGGGTCAATCACCATTACTTGGAGACTTGGAGTTGGAGGTGCTAAGATTGGATTTGGGGTGGTTGCGTCGTATTTCATGGGCGATTTTCAGATTCCCGGCCTTCTGCGGTCATCGTGGGATATGGGAAAAACGGCAAAAATGTGATGGGAAAGTGACGGGAACAAGCATAGGGAATAATACAACCTGGGAGGGGGAAAGGGAGGAAAGGGGGGGGGGGGGGCGTGTGAGCAAGGCAGAGAGGTTGATGACAAGGGTAGCTTTGCGGGTTCGAGTGAGAAGGGTGGTGGTGAGAGCCTCGAATTGTTGGAGACTAAATTGATGATTGGGCTCTGCAGAGAAGCTCTTTCGTCGTTCTGGCTGACATTGTCACTCAAAAGTCACTCGACCTCAAAGGTACTTTGGGGACGGCACGGACTGGGAGACTGATCGAGAGAGAGCAAGAGCAGGGCGGCGTCAGCGGCAGAACCAAGCAGAGAGAGGTGAGGTGATGCAAGGACATGAAAGAAGGTCGCAGCGCATGTGCTGCTGCTGCGCTGTGCTGCGCAGCCATCTCGTTTGAGTGATTCTGTCAGGAATGAGAAGTGACGAAAGGAGAGGGGGCCCTGGAGGGGGGCGTTGACCAAGTATTATGTAGACTCTACAAAGCAAAAGCACAGAAATCTAGAAATGGGGGCGGGAAGGGCAGAACATGCCAGATATAGGTAATCCAGCGCGCAGTCTGCGACCTGTACGGCGGCCGGGCGGAGAAGAAGAAGAAGAAGAAAAAGCAAATAGACGGAACCCAGACAGAGTTACCCAAAGTTACGTTACTAAAGTAGTGTAAAAGAAGGTGCTAAACTCGCTTTCGATTTTGACTCCCGTAAAACCCTGGATAGCATTCCAAGAGACATGAGACTTGTTGAAGTGTGTGTGAAGTGTGTAGTAGAGGTGCCTAGCCAGCAGCGCGACACTGACAGGGATGCGTTTGCTGGTACTACTGCGCAGTATTCTTTGGAAATCTGATAGCTCGCCTCGATTGCCGATTAGTGAACTGCGCTAGGACGGCATTAAAGCGCCATTATGGAATCCCCTCCTGGTGATGGTAAAATTGAGATGAGAGAGCCTGAAAGTGCGCGGTAAGAAAGAAAAAAAGGGTTTCGCTCTAGTTCGGGTCTTGGGGGTATTGACTCGTCACCACCCCCCTCCATCTGAATCCGCGGCGGTTTGACCGCCCTGGGATATGGATGGTGAGAGATATGGTGAGATGTCCGAATAGATTGAGTCGCTCATGTGAGATACTGCAGTCGCAACTTCTTATGGACGCGGACATGTCTTGACGAAAGACCCTGGCATTTTGATCTCCAAATGATTATTGGTCCCCTCCCCGCCCCACGCCATGTGAACGCATCAGTGATCACCAACCTCGTGGTCTAACGGTCTGACTGGGTTGGTGAGATTTATGCCGGGGAAATTTGGTTCATACCATGCTGTGACCACCGACACGGTCCCGAATGCGACCAAGACCTGTTCCCAAGACTGGGGGAAGTAAAGAGCTTTTTCAAAGGGAAAAGGAAAAAAGCAAATCAATGAAAAGGAATGTCTTGGGAAGAAGCCGTATGAGATGGCGGAGGCTTGAGCTTGTTGGCAGAAAATCTCAACGAGGGAGGGGTGTGCGAGTTGTGTAAGCTCCTGGTTGGTGGATAACACCCCCAGATGGAGAGAGCTCTGAGATCTTGAGAGCCAAAGAGAGTGAGAGTCTGAGAGATGCCTGAACATCATAGGATAGAGTGAGACACAGAGGGTGGGGACCTCTGGTTCGTTCTCGTGTAACCAAGCCTCTTGTCTCGGAGCTACAGCGTGGCACGCGGCCTATTCTTGCTTTTTCCTTCCTGCGTCCTGTGTCCTGCCTGCTTGTGCGGCGTGTTGCCTGCCGCGTAGCATCGGCCGCCGAGTCGAAGAGAAGTGAAGGCCAAGGGGTGTGCGAGGAGTGACAGTCTATATCCCATAGCGTGGTAGTGGACGAAGAGTAGTGCGAGTAGTGGTCGGCGATTCAAATTATTGACGACTCAGTGAGCAGAAAAAAAACCGAAGACAGCTCCCCGAGAGATGGTCTTGGTGCTTGGATAGGTCCTCTGTCCCTGCCCGTCGGTAGCCGATTTGGGAACTCAGTGGGTACGGGATAGCAGTATCCGTAAGACGGCAGACATTGGACAAGGCAGGCAAGATTGGCCAAGCAGCGGTGGAAAATAGCGATGGGTGTAGGTATCCATACGAAGTGACGAGACGCATGTACTCCGTAAGCGACGACGATTCGGCGGTCGAACGCGAAGCGAGGGTGATCGGCCGGGTCATGTGCACCCATCGAGTCGAGTCTCGACTGACCACGACGTGCCGTTGAAGTGGTTTTCCAGGATTTTGCATGCCGACTCCCTTTTGGCGCGCCGCACGCGCGTGAGGCGGGCGACGAATCATGCCTGGGTCGTACAGTAATCTTGAAAGGCTGGACTTGTATCCGTATCCGTTCTCATGGACAGATCCGCAGGCAACAAGGCTCAAAGATGGATTCTTCGAGGCGATTCGACGCTCGGAGGCAGGCGGCGTTTAACGGAGTGTACGGAGTGCGAAGTACGCGCAAGAAGAGCGAGATGATGATGATGCCTAATGTGCGATGTGATGTCTGGCTCGCCTTGCCGGACATGCTTCAAAAGTTTTGCCGCGGGCATCATGATTCCGATTGCCAGGGGGCATCGCGTCAACATCTCGCCGTGATAGCTCCGTCCACCAGGAGGTTTAGTTGCCTCAAGTCAACATCAACCATGGATGTGTACGTCTCGGTTCTGATGCTGGAAAAGCATGACCAACAAAAATGTGCGTTTGTTGTTGAGGTTGAAACCACCAGGTCCAAATGAAAGAAATGAGATGAGGTGAAGTTGCAGTAGGATCTTCTCAGCTCAGCGCCCTAGTGCCCCTAGTGCCGCCCGGAAAGCATGGACTCCAAGGAGGGACGTTCCCTGTGGACGTGGAAGGACCCGCTGTCAGGTAGAGAAAATCCCCTGACCACTTCCTGCTATCCGTACTCCGTAATGGGAGTCTGGGCCTAAGGGTGTACGGAAACACAGTAAGCCAAGGTAGGACGAAAGAATGCCGATGTGGTGTGGGAGCTGAGAGCTGATGGTGTGCAGGGTGAGCTTGCGAAAGCTCCAGGGATGGCCCGGGTAACTTAAAGAGGCAATGCGGTGCTGCTCGTAAGGTACCTTAGGTTGCTCGGGTAGCTTATGTAATCATCGGATGGCGGGGCTTTGTTTCGGCCGGGCTCGTGAGCCTTCCTGACGGCCAAAGGTGCCCCACCTCCGCCTCCGTCCCGACCGTCACTTGTTCAACGCCGGACAATCTGTAACGTCACTCCCTCGAGCCTCCGCGCCGTGCTCCCTCCGTGCTTCATCTGGCCTACATACACATTACCGCATACCTGCAAACTTGTCACCAACCGTATAGAAGACCCGACGATCCAGCATCAAACACCACTACCAACGATGACTCCTTGACCCTCCTCTCACCCCCGGCCTCTCATCCCACCACATCATTCAGACCCTCCATCCCAATCTACCACCTCCCCTCCACCTCTACATCCATCCATCTCAATATCACCACAAATTTCCTCCTCCTCCTTCTACAATAATGTCCTCCATTCCCCAAACCCTCTGGTCCGCCCAGATCCCTCTGCACATAATCCACCCCTCCGCCCCAAACACCCCGCTCGTCACCTCCCTCCCGCGCTTCTCCTACCTAGCCCTCCTCGTCCCCCGCTGCTCCGCTTTCTTCCGCCACCCCGTCTCCGCCTTCCACCACGAGGACCTCCTCCTCCGCAACCTGCCCCTCGGCCTCCTCGTCGACCTCTACCAGCCGACTTTACCGTGGCGCCTTACCGTCAGCGATGGCGATAGCTGGGATATCGGCGACACCTTTCTCAACTGCGTCAAAGAGGTGAGTAGAGTTACGCAAAAGACATGTCTTGTCTCTTCAGCTCCTATTCGACCCCTCCTTTTCTCTCTCTCCCCCCCCCCCCCCTCTCTCTCTCTC